TGTGGGATTGTTGGCCTGCAGACAAGAAAAAGAATAAAAACAAATCTTGTTGATAACTTTAGGTCAGTGGATGAGAAATTCTACCCCATAAGAATAAACCTGTCACAAACACCAAAAACAACTCCCAATAGTCCCCTAGAGAATTTTTTTTCTGTACTATCTGATCTGACCACTTCTGTTGCGGGTAAACCACAAACAGGTCTGTACTTTAAAACAAAACATGAAACATTAACTATAAGTGGCTGTAAGACGAAAAGCATTGCACAGCCCTCCTTTATGCTCACTGATTCTGTTAACGCTTAACTAGGAAGTAGGACACAGGCTGACTGACATACCTAGAACCTTCTCTTACTTCAAGGGCTTGTTGAAGGCAGGAGATCCTAGTTTCAAAGCACTGCAAAGCAATCTGGCACAGTCAGAGAGGTTACACAAGGTGGACACCACTATAAACATCCATCAGAAACTTCTGAATTGCTTCCACTTTTGCCGAAATAAGGAGCACTTGAAAACACCAACTTCCTCTGAAAATGTAAAAACAAAAGATTTTAACATTTATTGTTTACATTGGATTAGCTAATTGTTTAGTATTGGTAAGTATACTTTCATGTGACATTAGACTGGCAGAGGCTGAGGGTTGATCAAACTAAGGAAGAACAGGGTGAAGAGGTGTGTTATTGTTGATGGTTAAGAGATTTCGATAGAGCATCAGAAAAGGTCACCAGAGTTGCACCTTAAAGCCAAAAACCCAGCCATGGTCAACGTTCCTCTTGTTATTTTGTTTTCTAATCTGACGCTTTATTACAGCTTTTTTAGAGGAGTGACATGACCAGTTTTAAAGGTTTCAGATCAAGCCCGGTTTGTTCAATACCTTGTTTTCAATTAACTAAATAGTTATTGGGAAAGGCATTAAAAACTGAAATGTAAAGAATAAAACATTTGTTTAAAAGTGAGTATGTATATCACTATTGTAGGTTTCTGTCCCAGTTCTCACTGTTACACCCCAGGCAAAGTTATGTTTCATTGGAAGTGAAACACTAACAAGTCTCAACCCATTATAGTATGTTGTGTTTTCCCAGGAAAGTGTTTTGGCATGCTTTAAACCCCCGGAGAGAAGCAGAGAAAAAAAGCTTTTTGTTTTTTTTTATTCCAGTAGTGGAGCTTCATTTATCTGTTCCTGGTATAGGATGCTGGTTTACCTTTTTTCAATGCTTAAAGGTGTTATGTTTCTTATATTGTTACAGTGTGTCAGATTAAAATTATGCATCTTTAGGTGATTTTAAGCTTCAGGTCAAACTTCTAAATATAAGAACAACAGATTAGAAATGAGATATTTGTTTCCTTTCTTAACTGAAAAAATGCTCCTCTTCCTCCTCTTTTGACCAATCTTGATGTATCATAGCTGCAACTATGAGATCTCAAATGAGGTAATCTGATTTGTCATTTAAAGTATTTTGTAATATCTCAATTATAATATATCCCCCTAGAGCTGTCATTGAGGTGTCCTAACAGTTGCCTGCAGAATTTTGTATGGC